TGTGTTCTCCGTTTTTTTCTAAAACCTGTCATTTTTGACATATGACACAAACATATGTTTTTTTAAATGGAAACCATAGTTGGCCATGACTTCATAAAAAGCGCCATTTTTTAAGCTTTTCAGCGATATAAGCTATAATATGTTTTCTTCGAAAAATTACTGAGTTATAGCCAATTCTTATCATTTTTAAACAATTTTACTTAGCCATGGAAAGTTTAATCGTCTTTGCCCTTATAAATGTGAAGCTGTCACATCTAAACTTTGTAAATTAAAATAAACAAAAATTGTAAATATGATTGTTTCAAATGAAGAAAAGCGTGTAGGATTATTGGTTCAACTTTTCTTGACCACACATTTTCGAGGATACGTTGACCGGTGAATGTTACGTTTTTTAGAAAACTGTTTTCGAGAGATGTTAGAAAAGTTAAATTTAGTTATAGCCAGTTCTTATCTTTCTTGACTAATTTCAGTTAGATTGCATGGTATTCTTATTCTGTTATGATTTATCTATATATATAAATCTGACTGTCCTGACTGATACTGACTCATCAACGCCCAGACCAAACACTTGACCCTAGAAAGCTGAAATTTTGCACAGGGGTTCCTTTTATGATGTTTACGTAAGATAAGAAAGGATTTTTAAAAATTCATCCCCTAAGGGGGTAAAAAGGGGGGTGGAATATTACAATATTTTTTATTTAAAAACGGTCAAGTTTCCGAAAAACGCTGAAACACGTATATTTTATTTTCTTTTTTTACACATTTTCAGATTTTTTAAAAATGTATACAAGGTGTTTCGAAAAATCTGATCATTGATTAATCACGATCCTGCTTAAAGCGCTTGACGTAAAAAGCTGATTTTGGAAAACGGATTGACTTTAGGGTGTAGAGGTTCGATAAGAAGGGATTTTTCGAAACTCGAATTCTAAGGGGTGAAACCGCCCCTCAAATATTAGAATATTTTTATTTAAAAACGGTCAAGTTTCCGAAAAACGCTTGAACACGTATATTTTATTTTCTTTTTTACATATTTTAAGATTTTTTAAAAAATGTATACAGGGTGTTTCGAAAAATTGATTAATTGGTCATTGATTAATCACGATCCTGCTTAAAGCGCTTGACGTAAAAAGCTGATTTTTGGGAAAACGGATTGACTTTAGGGTGTAGAGGTTCGATAAGAAGGGATTTTCGAAACTCGAATTCTAAGGGGTGAAACCACCCCTCAAATATTAGAATATTTTTATTTAAAAACGGTCAAGTTTCCGAAAAAACGCTTAAACACGTATATTTTATTTTCTTTTTTACATATTTTAAGATTTTTAAAAATGTATACAGGGTGTTTCGAAAAATCTGGTCATTGATTAATCAAGATCCTGCTTAAAGCGCTTGACGTAAAAAGCTGATTTTTGGAAAACGGATTGACTTTAGGGTGTAGAGGTTCGATAAGAAGGGATTTTTCGAAACTCGAATTCTAAGGGTGAAACCGCCCCTCAAATATTAGAATATTTTTATTTAAAAAACGGTCAAGTTTCCGAAAAACGCTTGAACACGTATATTTTATTTTATTTTTTACATATTTTAAGATTTTTTAAAAATGTATACAGGGTGTTTCGAAAAAATTGATTAATTGGTCATTGATTAATCACGATCCTGCTTAAAGCGCTTGACGTAAAAAGCTGATTTTTGGAAAACGGATTGACTTTAGGGTGTAGAGGTTCGATAAGAAGGGATTTTCGAAACTCGAATTCTAAGGGGTGAAACCACCCCTCAAATATTAGAATATTTTTTATTTAAAAACCGGTGAGTTTTTAGGAAAACTCTTAAACATGTATATTTTATTTTGTTGTTTTACATATTTTAAGGTTTTTTAAAAATTTATACAGGGTGTTTCATAAAATATAACCATTGAGTAATCACGATTCTACTTAAACTGCTTGACGTTTAAAGCTGATTTTTGGCAAACGGATTGACTGTGGGGTGTAGAGGTTCGATAAAGAGGGGGTTTTCGAATTTCAAATTCCAAGCGGGTGAAAACGACCCACAAATATTACAATATTTGTTTATAAATACGGCGAGCCTTTCGGGAAAACACTTGGACACGCATAATTGATTTTGTTTTTTTACATATTTTGAAATTTTTTAAAAAATCATACAGGGTGTTCCAAAAAGTTGGGTAATTGATTAATCACGATTCTGCTTAAACTGCTTGACGTAAAAAGCTTATTTTTGGCAAACGGATTTTTCGAAAGTCAAATTCCAACGAGATGAAACTACCCCTTAAATATTATACCAAGTTATATAATAATATCGCCATATTGTTTTTTCTCATGCTGACATAAATGTAAGAAAATTTTATCTTAGTTTGTATGTTAATGGAAATTCTTGCTTTGCTTGATCATCACCATTACAAATGATTAATCCGACGCGAACGAAGTCGCGGGTACACACTAGTGACTTATAAAAAGTCAGAATATATCATTAAACGGTTCTTTACAATTTACATTGCACAAACCAAAACCTGAAAAAATAATATCACTACATATTTTAGAAAATGTTAAAAAAAATCCGCTATTGTTTTGAATTACATATTTTTAAAACTGAATTACTACCTGTTCTCACAGAAGGAGCGGTCGACTTAATTAAACTTCCCTCGTACCGCCACTTCGAGTGCCTCTCTTAATTCATAAGTTCTTTTGTAAACCTTATTGTTAACTATACCGCATAAACAATTCTAAAATGGATAGGTCAGGTGATCGAGGAGGCCCATGCAATTAGTCCACCTCTTCCTATCCCTGCGTTTGTATAATTATGATATAAATAATTTTAACATTTTTTTAATTATGGGAGGTGGGGGTGGTGTGTCATAATGAAAGTCATGTTGGAACCACTCTATTGATGCGCGAGTATCTACACGCTTTTCAATTCATATTTACAATTTTTTTTATTTTAATTTACAAATTTTGGATGTGACAGCCTCACATTTCTGAGAGCAACGGCGATTGAACTTGTTTCCATGGCTAACTAAGTGAAATTGTTTAAAAATGATAAGAATTGGGTATAACTCAGTATTTTTTCGAAGAATATTATAGCTTATATCACTAAAAAGCTTAAAAAATGGCGCTTTTTATGAAGTTATGGCCAACTATGGTTTCCATTTAAAAAAAAAATATGTTTGTGTCGTATGTCAAAAATGACAGGCTTTAGAAAAAAACGGAGGACACAGTCTCATTAAGGATGTGATTATCTACAACTTTTATCTGAAAACTTTTTGTTTAAAATAGCTTATAATAAAATTAGGGACAATTTTTAAAATAGCTAAAATTTGTTTTTTTCGAAATATCTAGTAAGCCATGAACTTTTTCCAAAATCTGAAAGGCGCATATTTATGATCCGACAAAACTGCAATTCTTTCCCCATTTAACCGATTCCCTATTTCCAGTAGTTTCCGAGATACCCATAGAGAACATCGTAGGAAACTCACCCTGTATAAAACAATCCCAGAGTTCCCAACTGGCAAAAGAGTACGACAGGGAGAGGCGAAATCCTCAAAGCTGTTTACAGCAACATTAGGAGAAATCTTCCGTCAACCTAACCATCTAAGATTCGCTGATGATATAGTCCTAATTGCCAATAGTCCTAAAGAACTACAAGCATAAATTAATAAACTAAATACACCCAGCAATAAAGTGGGTCTCAAATTGAATTTAGCAAAAACTAAATACAACAAACTAATAGTTAGACAACAATGGGCCCAACTACAAAGAGAGTATGTAAGGAAGGCTACACCATAATTGGAAATGGTTGAATAAGCTGAAGATTATTTTGAGATGGATGTATTGACGCAAATTGAAGCATGTTTTGAATACCGTATGATCGTAAAAAACGGCGTGAAAGGCGGCTGGGAAATGACAATCTCTAATCCTCAATTTCTAGACGTCATTTACTATAAATTAACATAAAACTTGTCAAAAATTAATACTAAGTGTTTTAGATACACAAATCTATTTCCAAAAAAAAATATTTTTCGTCGAATTTCTCGACACCATGTAATTTTTTAATTCATTAATATAAAAATAAATTACAACCTTCTTAAGGCCAACTGGCAGTCAGCGCCAGTACAAAATAAAGAAGTGTACGGGCTAAGTAATGACATCTAGAGCTTGATTTCGCCAAAATTATGATCGATTGTCATTTTCCGGCCTTCTTCTTTCTCGATTGTACGATATTTTTTGATATCTGAGTTCTACATGAAACTTTAAACGTACTTTTGTATAACATCGTACATTTAAATTTAGGCCTTTTTAAACAATTTCAATTTTAACTCAAAACAACATTTGAAGAGGGAAATCATTCAGAAATTTATGTTACTTGTTTTTTAAAAAAAGTCATAACCTAATTAGACTTAGTGCTCATCATTATATCACAAATGTTACGTTAACAAAACTAAGACAAACAGCATTTTTTTAATTTATTTACCATCCAAAATAAAAGTTAATTTATAAAGTCTAAATACAATAGTCTTCAAGATATTTCCAAGTATCATTATCTTGTTATTAAAATGCTATATCCTCATCACATCACTAGTTACAACGAATGGTGTTAAAAATTATAAAAATCAGGGATATATCAAACAAAATACTAAAATAAGTAGCTACCAATTGATTCTTTAAAAAGAAGCATCTAGAATATAAAAATCAAAGTGGATGAAAATTATTAAAAGATGTGATTTAGTTGAAATAGGCAAATTAACAGCCGCTTCTGGCGTGTCCATGCATTTTGTATTGTGCGGACAGTGTACCGAAGGAAATAAAATAAAACGAAGATTCATATACTAGTGTATTTTTATTTAAACCATCAACCCAGATCCTGAGAGCAGCTATATGTTTAAAACAAAGTCCTGTATAAATTGGCGCCCAACGTGGGGCCATATGTGTCGGTAAATTTTGTGTTAAGCGAGCAATGTAGAATATTATGATTATAGAAAAGACATTTTGACTTACCTCTGACGACTAGCCGAACGGGATGACTGGTCAAGGCATCCTGCGTATGAAAATCACTGGCCGTCACTTGACATTCCCAACTGCCATCATCAAATTCTAACTGCGCCGCACGCACCCATATGGAACAATCGCCATTCTGTTGATTGGGCGAAGCCCACTCGTATTTATGAGGATACATGCCCATCGGCTGAAAAAGAAAAACATATTAGAAACTTAATAATAATAAGAAAAGCAAAAAGTGTTAATATTTTATGTTATTCCGCTTTTAATAAACTTTAAATTTATTCATAAAAACTAATAATAAATAATAACATAAAAAAATAATATTAATTTTTAACGGTTTCGCAGATACACGCAGTATTATTTCATGTGTCTCTTTCAACGGTAAAATACGAGAGAAAAATCATGGATGGCTTTGATAAAAATAAAAACCGTTAAAAATCCTGTAATACTCTAAATACAAAAAATGTTTATTTTTTAATTCTCCATCTATTGATAAAATAATATAAGGGCTGTTAAAAAAAGAAAGAAAAATTATTTTATATTTTAGAAAGTATGGCGTAGAATTTTGAACGTCCTGTATGATTTATATAGCACAGTAAGTACAGACCATCTCAAGTAAATACCTAATCTAATTTTGATTTCAAGACAGTTCTTGCATTTTTAATATTTTTTTTAAGAAAGGCTGAAAAAAAATTATTTATTTATTAATATCGAAATATATTGACTCATATCCTAGGATTATTTAAAGTGATCTGAAAGGAAGTCAAAAATGTAATTTTATACAGGATGTTTCATTTTAAAAAATGAACCCTATCTACTCACACTTTATTGAGCAACCCTATAAAAGTTAAAATATTTTCCGGAAATACATCCACGTACATACCTTAGGTTTGCACTTTAACAAAATTCCCGAATTTTTTATTCTAAGAGAAATATAAAAAATCGAAATATATATTATAATCGAAATGTAAAAAATATGATTGAGAACAAATTAGAAAAACTGTAAAGTCGATTGGATATCGATTGGATGATTCCAGATTGTGGTACGAAGAACTCATTGACCGACTGTTAATCCGTCATCCGTACCACAAGATTTACAATACAGAATGTATGAGAAGCACTCGGAACATTACAGTATGGCTGCCTGTCTGTACATGAGCTGTAGGAAGTGTATTTTATTGATTTTACTTGAATAGAAATGAAAACAAAAATACAGAGAGCGAATGACAACAACTCGAGGGCTGAGAACCATAGGGTACCCAAACGACATTTTCGTTTTTCTTAGAAAAATGAATTTTATAGTTCGATACTCGATAAATTCATTATGATAACAGAAATGAAATTAAAATATATTTGAGGACGTTGCATACGGATTTGTTTATAAAAAATACCCAGAAAGCTGCTGTAAAAAACTCGAATTATGTACTTTTTCGTTTTTTTTTTGGAAAACGCTGCTACCGCTTGGAACCTTGTGGCACTGTAAGCGCTATATTTGAAATTATATGGTTCTATTAAAAAAAGGAAATGTGGTTGTGTAAAGAAAGCTAAAGAAAAATTTGGAAATTATTGTAATTTTATCAAAGAAAAACACAAGTTCCCCAAACCAACTTTATACTAAACGTACTAAAACAAACTTTATACCAACGTACTAAGTAAAAACACGTACTTGAAACTATATTTCCCTGTTGATTCTGGTGCCATAATATGTCAATATAATAAAAAAAATTACAGCAAATTGAAGATAATGATCTATAGAACAGATTCCTGCAATAAAGTGAATTTTGAAAAAAAATATCGCTTGGAACCACTATGGTTCTCAGCCCTCGAACTGTCAAATCGGTTGGTATCAATATTTCCAGATCATTCAAGTATAATAATTGGAGTACGTCAGCGGGTGTCTATATATTTTTAAACCCATATCTACTGTAAGAAAAGGAAAAATATCATCCATCGATTTCACATTTCCCAAAATCGGCGCTTCTAGTCAATAAATTTTATGCAGTTGCGAAATAATAAATTATAAATTATTTTGAAATAACGTATCGACGCATGCATTATGCGTTGTTCATTCACAGCAAAATAACCGTACCACCACTAGGAAACAATAACTTACCGACGTGTACATACGTTCCGATGGTAACGGATTTTTACACCATTAAATTCAGCGGTTCAACGTTTTACCAAACCGGTTGAAAATTATTCGAAAATTTACAGCCGATTTTGGAAAAGTTGCAAAGCTGTTGGCACTCGGGTTTTTTATTTTCGCGGAAAATATTCGTTTTAATTAAAATTATATGAAATTCCGGCAATAAAAATGAGAAGAGCAAAGTGGAGCCCGATGTCGACGAAAAAATACGCTCTCTATAAATTTTTCAAACGATCGCGATGTTAAGCATTTCGAAAAGCGCATTTTAAACCATGACTATTCGGAATTATTTGGTTTTAATTCTGTCCCGGGTATTAAAAATTGTCAAAGTTATTAAAAACTGTAAAAAAATAAGTCCCAATGGAACCGGTATTAGTAATATAACGTTATTACTGAAATATACTTAATGACCACGTTTTGATATGGACATCTTGCTCTAGTACCGGGCTGGCAACTCTTACTTTTTGATCGTTATTTACATGTGTGGAAGCAAACCGCATAGAGATATTATTAAGTCAGAGTGAGAGAAATGCGACGCGACCGTGTTCTGTTGCGGCGTTACCACATTTCCCCGGTACGCCTTTCCCTATCAAGTAAAGCAAAATCACGATCGTAAACCGCTTATTTTTGAAAACACTTTTTTTCCGAAAAAATAACTAGTTTCTGAGCATTAACAGTTGCATCTGAAATGGAATTATAAGAATATCGTTAGGCTGTCTATTTTTTTATAACGAAAAACGTCAGTAACCGCGATTATTTAAAAACTCAACTTTATAACACATAACACGCGATAACTCAAGAACTACTTTAGATATTGAAACTTTTGATTTATTTTGAAGTTCGGATCTTTTATACAATGAATTTGGTCAAAATTAAATTTTTTATTCAAATTAAAATTTTACTTAAAACCCATCTATTTACTTTTAATGCATTGCAATTTTCAGCAACCGTGTAACTTTTTTATTTATAAAGATTTTCACATACTGTCTACAAAGAAAATATAGCAGAAATATATTAAGAAAGTTTTCATTAATAAAGAGTTCTAATAGCGCGACCACTGTCGAATACCAACTCAACTCCACTTATTTTTACCAATAGCGCAAGTGTTTCTAACTTACACTTTTATGATGACTACGTTTTTTTAATTTTCAAGCTATAGGGAAAATTGCAAATACTCGTTAAGAACCCCTTCTTAGAATTTTAGTACTGATCGGGTCGGCCGGTCGACCGCGACTAATCTGCTTCTAAGTTTCTTAGCAATGTGCACGCGGTTTCTCGGTTTATTTCATACGCTTGGCAACGTTTTTACTATTCTCTTTTTGTTCAGTACATTATAAACTCATTTTACTCTTCTTACATACGAAAATCTCGACCAAAAAATAACCTTTGTCAGCCTTTAGTATAAATTTATTAGACGTACTATTAATAGCTAAATAATTAGCTATTAATAGTACGTAGCTAATTTATTAGACCTACTAAAATTCTAGGCGAAAAAATATGAATTGTTATTTGATTATAATAAAACTCAAAAAATATAAAGATTATCAAAAACTTCTTTTTTCTTTGGTTTAAGTAATTAAAGTTATTTCATTTAGTTAAGTATTTGGTATCTAGATTAAACTTTGTAGAGTTTCAAGAAGTTTTTTCGGAAGTAATTGCTATTAATCAACATACTTTCATTATTTTGCTCTCAAAGAAAGTGAACTCCTCATTTTCTTTTATAGTCTTCAATAAAATAAAAATAAAAAATTAAGGAGAAGAGAGTGAGTGAGAGAGACCTAGTGTATCTTACTTATAAAAATAAAACTGAGTAAATTTAGTTCTTTATAATTTTATTTTATTTATGTAACATTGACATAATTGGTCATGTTCTGCTTATAATTTTACACTAAACAATACTACAATACTCCTCTCTATACACAAATAAAATCATAAAAAAATCATAAAAAACTTAAGTTTTTTTCTCTTGGGCTGGAATTTTCGTCGGTCAATACGTGTTACGACGATTCTATATTGTGATGAACTAAAACTGCGATTGTACGCATCAATTGACTTCGATTGACGGGTGTACATTTAGTTGCCTATATCGATACACTGGATAGAGAATGTCCAGTTTATGAGAACGAGGCTTAACATTTGTATTATCCATATAGCCTGCTCTGACACACCAAATAACGTCATTGTTTTAACTGCCATTGTTACAACTTTATATTAATATTTAATCAAACATGCAAGCAAGCAAATAACAAAATAAGGTTTAAAAATCTTTGTTGCTTTTGCAGAATATTTTTTTGTAGAAGGAATAATTCTTTTTGAAGAGTCAATTTAAAACAATGTAAAGTTTTATCTAATTATGGTTAGAACCTTAGGTACATTTTTACATAATAAATTTATATAAAAATTATAAAATAATACAATGCACATATAAAAATCATGTGATTGTAAAGAAATGCGTATCATATACAAATAAATTAAGGCCAAAACTAGAATCAAAAGATTTGGAGACCTGAGAAATGCAACCCCTATAAGCCTTAGTGATAAACTGACACACACGTTACTTTGGCTATCTAAAACTAAAATCTAAAAAAAAATTAACTATTAGCTAAAATAAGCTAGCTATATTTGACAGTAATTATTTTTTTCTAAAATTTAAACTTATTTAATGACAATTCATGTATTTTCAATATATTTCAATAAGTTTCTAAATTTGAAAATTCTATTTTCCCACTAATTTTCATTCAATTTCTATTCTAAGGCTTGTCCGAACTGTATTCCGGAATCTTTGGCAGCATATTCTGCAGATAAAAATAAGTAAAAACTTCGTATAAAAGTATGTGCTAAAATGCTTAGTTTCCGAGATATAGAGTGAAAAAGTTTCATTTTTATTTCGATTTTTTCCAAATCATTTCTGAAGTAACGTGAATATTTGGATAAACATTAGTGTCTGAGAGTTTTTGACTTGAAAAATTTGATTTTGATGGTAATATGACTCCTATTTCTAGGGCCGGGAGTGGTTGCAGTGAAGGGAGAAAACATCC